AGGCTTTTTGGCACTTCCATAAATGATTGAGAAGAAAATAAAAGAAAATGGTGAACATTTTTGTATTTTAGTTTGCTACTTTTTCAACGCAAAATGAAGCCGGTCTAGTTGCCGGTCTAGATGGGAAAATCTAGACCGCGGTCAATATCGATTTCAGCCAATCAAATTCGTGAATTCGGTAGGTCCCACTCCTAGTGAGACACAGTGAGATTTATTACCCAACTGCTGTAGTCAATAAATTTATCAATGAAGGAAGGAGTGTGACAGTTTTGCGTGCGCGCGCCGACCTGTACAGCAAACAGGTTTTCTACTGTACAAATAATTGTACAATATCGCTGTATATTTGTACTGTTATTTGGACAGTATTCGCTGCAGTTGGATAATTATCTCGGATATTCCCCAGTTTTAGCTGGGAAAAATTCGGTCGCATGACGTGTTTAGACCAATCGCGCGCGAGCGAAAATATTTGATGGATTATAATAGTAGATACCTCACCTTCAGTCCTTTCGATTTTCCAATAACAGCTTGATACAAGAGCATTATACTAGCTTTTTTTTTTTTTTAATAAACTTTGATAAACAAAATCTGTCCACGAATACAAACTTTCTTAGTTTACATCATGTTTCTTTTCTTTCGTTTCTAGTCTAGGATATTGGAAAGTGATGTTTTTTTTATTAGTTTGTAAATTCTTTTCACGTTTGTTAAAAAAGGATTTCTTTTTAATCTGTTATACGTTAAGTCTTATCAATAAATAAAGTGGAAAAAATGAAAAATACTGCATTGGCAGCGAAATTCAACGACGCGGAGACGGAACAAACTTCATTTCAGTCGAGGTGCAACAACTTGCCACCAGTAGTTACAACCATAGTTACGTATGTTACAACTCAGTAACCAAAAAAACAAACAAACAGCGGTCATCTTACAGCGTTCCAGAAACAGAGCAACATCAAACAGCAACATAAAAGGCCAATACAATCAACAGGATACTTGATACCGTCTACCAACCGTCCAACGGGTAATGTTCGTTTAGTTTGTTTCCGATGAACAAACAAATGTATAGATCATGGTCTCTTGTCATAACCCATTTGTCAGCTACTTTAGTACAAACGGATTGTTACAAGTAGTGTTTAGATGCAATAGGCTCTTGCTTATCAATACACTGCCCCAGACGCTGCCTCAACCACGAAGCCAACAAAATTGAAAGCTGCCGAGCCAAGAAAAACCAATGTGCATCGAGAACTAAGAACACAGGGACCATCACATGTATAGAAACTAGAGTCTTGGCAGTCGCACATTTGGGTTCCATGACGGTAAAAAACAACGATTCAGCTGAGATATAATTTTGTTCTCTGGATTCATCTTGAGGAAAAAACGCAGCAATACACTTGATGTAAGTAGGAATTCTTTTCCAGCTAATTTACAGCATAAAGGAAAGGGAAGAAGCCAGACAGGCGGCAAAAGAAATTGAGAAAAAGAAAAACAAAAGGAAGGAGAGGAGGAAATCTTCAGATTTCTTCCTCCTTCTTCTTTCTGTCTTTCTTTTTTGTGAGAGAACGGGATTTAATTATATCAATATTCGTCGCTGCTACTCGTCTGTTAGGAAACGACACGCCATAGGTTTACCTCCTCCTACAATGAACGGAATAGTACGTTAGTAAACTACGTATTTCAAAAATTTACTCCATACATAGAAGGTTGTCTTGGTCTCTCTTATGTTATCAAGTGATGGTTCTTTGCGCGGGAGCAGCTAGCAGTAAAATGTTGTGGATGAAACATAACTCAATTTCAAGCCACGGTTTTACTAACCCTAACCAGTGTGAGGGTGAGAGGAAAAAAATGATTTCTATATCTCAAAGAAGACAATAAGGGAATCATGAAGGAGATTCACAATGATGCAAAAGGGAATGGAAAAGAATTTTCTGGACGAAAAATAAATGAAACCTCGTGAATCCAATTTCCAATGGGAGGAAGGAAGGAAGGATGGAAGGAAGGAATGGAGAGAGGAAGGGAGGGACGGAGAATGGATGGATGGGAGGAATTAAGGAAAGGAGGCAGGGAAGAAGGGTAGGAGAGAGGAAGAAAGAAAGGGAGGAAAGAAGGAAGGGAGGACGGAAGGAAAGTAGCAATGAAGGAACACAAGCACGGAAGGACAAATGGAAAGATGCATGAGAGGTTGAATGAGTGAATGGATAGATGGATGAAAGAATGAATGAGCTGAGGTGATAAATTGTTCCTTAAACTAATTGCAATTCTGATTGGGTCTTTCACAATAAACATTTAAATATAGCGTGAGAGAATATAATGAAACTTAACAAGGTAAAAGTAAAGTAAATAAATGTTCTTTTTGTACGGGTTTTGTTTAATAAAGCTTGATGATGACTCGATCATGTGCAGCTCACGCTATTTTCACTTTAAGAATCCCAGTTTGCGGGAAGCTGACTAAATATATCAGTCCCATAAGCTGGACTCAGTCTGAAAAAGGGAAAAAAACTCAGCCATTCAAAAGATTACATTTGATTCTGGCTTGCTTCCTAACTTTGTTGGATGATGTTTCAGTAAGTTTGGATGATAATAACAATGATGACAAGAGATTTTGCATCCAATGTAAAATATATATATATAAAACATTACTAACCAGGGTACTCCTCGCCACTAAATGTGTTTATTATCCACTCACAAGCGTTCCTACTTTCCATTCTAAATGAAAACAACAATACTATTCAAAATGGCTTTTCATTGAGCCTTCTTTCTCTTCTCAGAGCCAGGGAGTTTATTAGAAAGAAATTTCAAAAGTAATAACACTAGAACTACAAACAAGGATGTTTCTTGCACTTAAATGGGACAATGATGATTATCTGAGTGTTGTGACTGTAAGATGGAAAATCAAACCTGATAAGTGATGTTCCTAAGCTTATTCCTTGACTGTCTCTTTCAATGACACACGCTAGAACATCACCATATGGCTTAAATAGATCAACTAAATCCTACAAAACAGACACTGGGATTAGAGCTGTTATGAACATATTCTAACCACTGTTCATAATACTGAAAGACATAAAAGATCTTCACAGTTGTGCGCAGGAATGAGGCAGTTATGAAAATAAAGGCAGGTCACACAATTTTTCAACAGCCTAATTTGTGTATAGGTCTGTGGTTATCTCTCACATCTTCAAATCTTTCTTCCTCAATTAGAACATTTAGATTGAGGAACCCACAGTTCAAGAGAATAATACTTCTCATATATTCACTTGCTGTAATACTACTGATTCTCTATAAATTAAGAACAACACAACCACAGAGGCACGCACTTCATAGCAGCTGTGAATTGGACACTCTCAGTGGAAGAGCCAAAGGTGTTCAAAAGAAGGGCACTAGAGTAAAGATCAGACCTTTCTAGTTGGACAATTGGGAGGATCACAGTTAACATTTTTCCACTTTGGACCTTATGCTCCTTTTATGACTCAGGGGTTTTCTTAATTCAGTCTGGCAGTTTCCTGCTGTTCTAAAGTAAATGTTAGACAACAAACCTGCTCATTAATGGTTGAAGGAAAATTCTCAATAATGATAACATCACTGCCATCAGCTGACAACAAATCTTCCTGCAAAATTAAGCAAATCACATTTAAGAGGCTTACTTACAACATCTGTCTAGATAGGAGGCATGGCCAAGTAGTTGAAGGTGTCAGCTTTTGAATCTGGAGGTCCCTGTTCAAGTATCCCATCCTGCTACCAACCAAGGTTTCTTCTTGAATTTAGAGTCCTTAACTGTGCTGTACGGGGAGGCATGGTGGCCTCATGGTTAGTATGCTTAAGTCTCTGGATTGAGCAGTCCAGGTTCAAGCCGTAGCTGGGGACACTGCATTGCGTTCCTAGGCAAGACACTTTACTCTCACGGTGCCTCTCTCCACCCAGGCATATAAATGGGTACCGACAAACTTAATGCTGGGGAGAACCCTGTGATGGCCTAGCATCCGATCCTGGGGGAGTAGAAATACTCCTAGTTACTTCATGCTATGGAAAGCAGGATAAGTTCCGGCCTAATTGGCCACTTGATTTGTTCGCAGACTTTAGCTAACTGTGCTGTACAAATAGCCTGGTAAGCCTCCCACCAGTTGGGGTTTTAACAAGATTCTGTTCCGTTCCTCAACATTTGTTTGTTGATCTACAGTTTTCTGTTAGCACCACAGAGCTATAAAATACTCTGACACTTATTTATTAAATGGTCAGTTACTTTATAAATTTCTATCATCAGGAAGATAGATCAACGACGCTAACTATTTATCAGGCTGGTCAATATCAATAACTGAACTGGGCTGATGCTTGTGAAGTAGACCTTACCATGATGCAGGCCGCCATTGGGTTTTAAGTCCCCTGTAACAAACTTGCTGCTTTGTACTAAGCTATATCAACACAAGCAAGTTCACTTATAACATTTACAGTCTGGTCAAGCATACTAAGTTGTAACAGGTTACAGCCCTTGCTGACAGCTCTGAACTACTGTGATCATGGTATGAATGCTTAGCCCATAGATGTAAAATGTAATTCAAATTACCAATACTTGCCTGCATTCTTTTGGAAACTCCTGGTGAAGTTGAATTAGAAACTGGTTCATCGACTGATGATTTTGTGGCTGTCTGTGGTGCAGTGCCTGTAACTGGTTTTGATTTAGTCTGTTCTTTCACCCATTTGGGTGATGGAGGGTCGGGGTTGGTTGCTGACAATGGAGGAAATGACTCCAGCCGCTGAACGAGAAAGAAAAATTGTCGCTGAAACCTGTGGTTAAGACATTATTCTCATTTCAAAATGCTTGAGCCACTAGGCCTTTAAAGATGCCTGCTTGAAAGGAACTGTTCATTATTATGAGTTAAACCAATCTATTTAGAGTTACCTGTTTCGGAGTAAGGTTAAAGATATTATTCCACATATCTTTAATCATCACCGCAACTTATGTTATTTTTTTGAATGAAACTTACATGACGCCCTGATGTATAAAACAGGTTTTATGTTCTGGGGCACTTTCCAGATTAAACCTAAGAGTCCTAAAATTCTGGAAATTTCGAAATAGGGGCAAATGGTACAGAAGTTTCCTAGGAAAGTTTCCTGAAAATCTGAAAATTGATGAATTTCTGTAATGCATATTCAGCCTAAAATACCTGATATTTTGGGAGGAAAACTAAATGGAATGGAAATCCCTGGTTAGAAATTTGTAAAAATTTGGATATTCCTCACGTGGCTGTCCTCTTTTTCACACATTCTGAACTGAAAGATACTGTTCCATTCACCACTAAAAATGTCTGAAAGTTCAAACCAGAATCTCTGGTGGAATGGAAAGTGTTCCTAATTACCCTAAATAAAACAGGAATCAGTAGATTGCATCCCTGGCATCCCTCAGTGAGATTACAAAACCATCCCTGGCTATTTCGTATGACAGTACCCCAGGAGATAAAAAAGACCAACAATACCCCTTGCCATACCCCAAAATATAAAACAACAAGATGATATATCGGCAGGACTTGGAGGGAATTGAAGAATACTCCAAACCTGGTTCACGCCATTCAAATGAGTAGGAATTTTTTGTCCGTAAGAACGAGGTGTAAAACGATGGACCCATTCGGTCCATTCTCTTTATTTAAATGATGCAAACAAATTAATTGAGTGGTATTCTGAAATTAAGCCTTTCATCCTTAGTGTCATGTTATAAAACACAGGGGATTTGGTTTACAAAATACCGTTACGTTAAATATTGTAGTAATGAACACAGCTTAAACGCAAAAATTATCTTCCAGTATTTCGCAGGGATTTTGGAATTTTAAGCACTTCATTTAGAGTGCCTGACAGCTTCAAAGACTTCAAAGAACAGTTTGAATTCAAAAATAAACATTTTCTGATAATTACGAAAATTAAGAGAGAATAATCAAAAGTTAAGAAAAAAAACTTTACATCGACAACAGTGGTACGTGTAGTCGTTGTCTTCTCCCCTGGTCTCCTAATTGGAGGTAAGTCTGTAAGCGCACGTGCTTTCATTACACTTGCTCTTCCCCGGCCTGTCGCGGGAGCTTGAGCAGTATTTTTCTCCTTTGTTATTCCCAAAGCAGCCTTTGGAAGGGTGAGAGAAGCGATGTCTTTCAGAGGTTTCCCTCTTCCCTGTCCTACTGCTGGTATTAGTTCCGTCTCTTCGGGCATTTTAGAGGAATGGGCGTCGATAAAGAAATCTGAGTCCCACGTCCTCCACCGAGACGCCATCTTGAATGTTTACAACAAATTTGAAAAACTCGTGCCAATACCCTTTCACACACGTGTCACGCGCTGCTGTTTCGTGACTATGGCAATGACAAGTCACGCACAATGGTTTAGAGTCGTCTGGGTTTAAAGCAAATTGAGGTCCCGACGAAATTGCTTGTTAGCTTGTAGGAAGTAAGTCATTTGGATGATTTTGGATTAATATAGACATCAACAAACAAATAGCCTGCTGAACAGGCGGATTAGCGGAGCAGACCGCAAAGCTTCCCGCAGGGCCGGGTCACGCTCCGCGCTCGTGTATCGCGTTTCGCTCTCTACAAACAAAGAGCGCTAGGTGGTTCGTTGTATTGGCGAGCAGCGCGAACGGCATTATACACTAAGAAAAGCGAGGGGAAATTGAAAGAAAGACAGGGGCTTTGCAGAAAGGAGTTAACCCACGACGGTTTTTTTTTTCTCACCGGATAACTCTGTATGGAATTGGAAACACAGAATAGAAAGATAACAAGGCGGAATGAAAGTTACGGGCTACCCGAAACGGCTCCCACGTATTATCAAGTGAATTTGATTCATTGATTTATACATTGATTTCTAGCCTAAAAAAACATTCGTTATAACAATAAAGTCGATGTTTTGGAAGCGAACGTAATGTATCCCAAGCCAAAAGCTACGGCCGTGTCACCAGCAGGCTCCTGGAAGGAAAAGACGTGTTGCATTGAAGAATTGCATATGTAGAGGGAGGGGTCTTTTGTTAAGCAAATTCTTTCGAATTTCTTCTTGCGTCAAGGGGCGGGGTCAAGAATATTCTGGAAAGAACTTGTCTCGATGTGTGTGAAACGATGAAACAAACAAGTAATGGTGGAAAACAGAGCTAAGCAGTTAACTTATCACAACGCGCCTGCATAGCTTTTAGCCTATTCTGTCAGTGTACATCTTTACCTTACACATGCAGGCTCTTCAAACCAGAAGCATATGATATGCTTCTGCTACAAATCTATAGTGCTAGACCCGTCCCCTTGTAGATAGAGGAAAAGAGGAAGGAAAATTTTCAGTTCATTTTTATTTTCTCTTTATTTGCAGTTTCTAGATGTTGATATTCTGAAACTACTACCATTTTGTTACCATATAAAAGTACCACTCACTTCAGAACCAAAATCATTTCACACCTTATAAGTTATTTGTCACTCTTCAAGAAAGGCCTTGGTCTAGCCACCAGTGCTGTCCAAGAATTTCAAAATAATCAAAAAAATAAATAATTAAACTAATAATAATCATCTTGGCATCATTATGTTACACCTGGGCACTAACTGTGCTCTGTCTTACATGTTTGACATTGATATACCATGTTTGTTGCTAATGTCGTGATCGACGTTTGGATGTTGGAACAGGATTTCGTCAGCGCCTGCAACTTTTTTGCCCCGAACCCCGATCTTTCGAAACCGCCCATGCAAAGTTAATTTATTTATTTTTTATTTTTTATTTATTTTTTTTACACTAACTTCAAGATGGCGACCATTGAACAGTTTAAATGTCAGGCGGTACACAACGAAATACTCTAAAAACAAAGGGATTCCCAATACAAAAAACAGAGACTTCCTAACAACAATTTTACCCGGTTCCTTTAAACCACACGTTACACTTTTGCAAGTTTAAGCCTTTATTGAGTAATAGCTTTGGGTTGATTTTCATCCATTCAACCTTTGTCACCACTTCGAAGCAAGAGTCAAACGGACCATGACTTGATAAAAATGTGCGGATCTAGAGTTCTTTGGGCATGTCACAAAATCTCAACCCCCTTCATGAAGGAAGCATTGCGTGACGATCGTAAAGGTGGTATCCTCCGCAGCCGTTTTTTAGAGGGATGTCACACAACGCGTGAGCGTGACATCCCCACAAACGGCTGTGGAGGAGACCATCCAAAGGTAGCTAATGTCGGCCTGATGATCAGAATTTATCACTGTTTTCTACTCTCCACAATCAAATCGTAGAACGCCAGAGCTTGCAGAAGGCAGTCACTCAAGTCGTCCTTCTTAGCACAAGACTTAAAATAATCCACAAACTTCGGCGACACCTGAAGAAGAGGTTTGTTTTTATTTCCCGGGTTGTCGATAAACGACTCCACAAAATCTTCACTCCCTTCCATCCCTTGCTGCTCTTTGAGGAACTGTTCACACTGCGCCTCGAATGGTTCTTCATTTTTTCTGTCCCGAAATAAGCTTTCCACCAAATTCACAGCCGCTCTCTTCTTCTTTGTCCCAACTGGAAGGCAGAAATGCTTGGAAGTGTAAAGTGGGTCAAATGGTATTACTAGTCCAGGTAGTAGGCAAGTCAACATGGCTTCGAAAACTCGAAGGTGCACAGCAAAAGGAAGAAGAGACACAGTCTGTTTTCCTATCCGATGACTTTGCATTTCCACTACGTAAATGTCCGTCTTGGGAACCTTGTTCACAAACTCTTGAACCTGAAATTTAGTTTAAACGTTAACTGCCTACAACGTTTCATACTGTCAGTACCAAGTTCGAAAGAATGATTTCTTGATAAATTTCTTAATTCTCACTACCTGCCTGCTGACACTGCACTACTGTTGTAAGGTGAATTTGGATGTTGAGAAATGTTGAGGACCCAAAAGTTAAAGGCCGTGCTTGAAAAAAGCTACCATCAAAGCTTTCAGTAATATAGTATTGTAAGGGTTGTCATTTGTTATGTTAATATGGTTCATAATAGCCAATTAGTAGTTATCATTTGCTATAAAAATGTCTGGTTAAGTGGAAACTGATACATGAAACTAAAAAAGAATGATTATGTGAATTTAACACCTTGGACAGTTCCCTGATGGAAGCAATGGTTCTTTCTACCTGATTGCAAACACTACATTTATGCCATTTGCATAATTGTTATTGATGAGGACCATGCGTAGCCTGAGAGACCAAAATCCACAAAGAGACCTAATCTGCCAGCTAAGCTGGAACCTCCAGGAGACTGTATCTGTCTGGCAGATATGAACCAGGAGTTGAAAACACCTGGGGCCTGTTTCTCAAAGGCCCTGGAAACGTTTCTGGCCTGCAAAGCCATTTTTAGTTAATCTATACATCTAAAAACAAGCGGGTGTATCTGCCTGAAGCTTCTTGTATGAAGGTAAACTCTGTTCATATCAAGAACATGTGAACAAAACAGCTCTATAAATCAAAAGGTTTGAGATTTTGCTATGTCTCTTTGTGTGCAAAAATTTTTGGGACCTTTGAGAACAGGAGCCCTGGACTGAAACTATGAACCTTCCAGCAGACTGGCATGCAGAGATGATTGAATAAAGGAACAAGGTGGATATCGTGTGCGTCCATTACTGAGAAAATCCAGATTAGAGTGCAAATAAATAAATATTAAATAAATAAATAAATAAATAATCAAGCTTACCAATGGTCGAAAAACAGCTGGATTGTAAGGTTTTGGTTTGATTATCTCAGCCCGTGACCAACCCAACACCTGTTTATCTTTATCCACATGGACCCAGGCAGCATTCTGGAAACCAATATCTATAGAAACAATCTCTGATATCACCTGAGAATGTGAAAAAAATGATTTAGAGCCCACAGTGTAAAGTATATAACTTAAGTTACGTCTTCTATTTATGTACAAGTTTGTAGGTGAGATAAATCTCTCCAAACCTGACCATACTTGCAGCTTTTTTTGTCTAGGATGTTTTAACTGATTGTACAAATAGTTGAACACTCCAATGTACTCTCAGCAACTAAATGGATGTATAAAAGCAAAGGCTTTGTCACACCAGGAAAGCATGTGTGGGGCTGGGAGGAGAATGCAAGCATGTGCTTAATGGCGAGTGGTGGCCTGGGTAACAGTGAAACCATCTTACAAAGAACAATGCCAAAGGCGACGCCCAACTAGAGAGGGGGTTGGGGGGAGGGGGGCTCAGATATATTATTTAGTGATATGGATCTGTGATTGAGGCCAAATGTAACCTGTGTCGCAGCCACTCTTCCCAAAAGAATGAGCATGGGAGGGAGGCTGTCACACAGGCTAGGCCAAATTGTGAGACCTCCAAAAAATCTAATTAGGTTAAACCAAGACCCCCAAAAATTAGACTAGCACCAGATTCTGCAAAAGCTGTCTATATCACTCGTTCCTTGAGGTTTGTATTAGAGGCAAGTAAACTATTTTCAGGGCGGTAGCCAGTATGAGGCCAACCAAGGCACTTGCATCAGTCATTTTTTCGTTTTAGTTGGTTTTCTTTTTGAAGGGGAAAGCTAAACCACTGCTATGGACATAACCTCAGACACAATTATTTTTTCTGGCTATGGCCCTGATTATGTCATTGAAAGGAATTATTCCTCTATTGTACTTTCATTCTACTCAGCCCTATCATGTGCACTCGCGATGATGTTGTGTTAGGAATGCTTCATTACCCACGCTCTCTTGGAACCATGAATATGCATGATATTTGACCCAGACTGTTTCTGTGTGGACCATGCTGCATCCAATCACCAAGCTTAAGCTATGATCCTTGTGCTTGGTGAACAAGATCTGCATATAGTGCCTACCTCTTTTTTGTTACGTACTAACAGTTCCCAGATTGATTCAAGTCCTTTAGAAGTCTTTTTCTTTACAGCTGCTAATTCACCAGCTTCTTGCAAATTGTCAAAGAATGCTGAACCAAAACCCTTTATTTGAAAGAGATCCTCTATGCTCTGAAATGGTCCAAAGTTGTCACGATATTGTACAAGAGAAGTTGCCTTACTTTTCCCTATGCCTTTGGTGTTTGAGAGTTCTTCTAAACTCCGATTGTTAAGTTCCTTCAAAATCTCCTGTAAATTACAAGCATTAATATGAGTCCTGACACAACTAATATCTACAAATATATTTTGTGAAAATTGGCATCCTAAAAAATTTCTTATATATTAAAAACCTTTTAACTACAAGTAAGAATAATGTAGGGTAATTTGCTAGTAGAAGAAACTCAAAACTCTCGAATGCCACAATAAAAAACACAAAAAAAGTTTGATCGTCATCTAATGAACATTGAAATTGTCTTTGTGTGAGATTTGGAGGCTTACTTTTGAAATAAGCCTTCAAGGGGTAGGACACGCAGTGGACGATGTGGCGTGCTCTCCTCCACGCTTCAGTTTTCCCTCTCTCTAGCCTCCAAACTACCAGCGTAAACAGTCAAGACAGCATGAAAGAGGCCTCTCCTGAAGAGAGAAGCTGCTTTCCCAGAAATAAAACATCAGAGAGAGCATCTATGTTTTACCATTGATAATCATGTTCAAGGCTAGGTGACTTTTCCCCAGAATGTGTGGAAAATTGATTGGTCGATCAGTCATTTTTGGTTTAATGAGGTACATTTGTCCATTGTTGAACTCAGTGCTTGGCATTTTATCAGTGGTGCTGACAAATATCTTGAGAGTTGACCATAAAGACCACATTGGAAATTTATTTTGTCAGTGGGAGTAAGATTTAGAATTTTGAAGTTTAAAAGCCACATTGACAGAGGTAATCAACATATTTATGGCGACAGTGAGCTCAGTTACTGTTTGAAACTTTCAAAGTTCATCAGCTGTCATGCAAAGATCACTTTCAAGGAGCAATTTCCTTTGTTGTCTCCGTGTGCCATGTCAGCTGTGATGATAATGAAATGGTTTTCTATGCATGGATAATTTATGCAACAAATACGATTATCAATGCCAACACACTCTCTCCAATATTTTTTCCAGGGAGGGGGAGGGCAGTATTAGTAACACAGGTTATTACTGATCACTACTCAGTAGAAATTCAGGAGAGCACAAACTGGTTTCTGAGGGAATAAGTCAATCAGATCTTTTGATCTCTCAATGTTTTCTAGCACGTAATGCATTAGTGTTTTTCACATGAGTAATTTATACGTCACCTACTTGTTAAGGTGGCGTAATTAGTTGGAGAAGGAAGTGTACCCTTCTGAGTAGGGAAGTTAAGTGTTATGAACTTGCCTGCTTTTTTGCTTCTGGTAAATCGACGCTGACATTTCCCTTTCCTTTCCCTTTTGGTTTAAGAATCGAGTCTGGATTAGTCTCTTTTCCCTTTTCAGCTGCATTCTTTGTCAAAGTTGTAAATGCATAGCGCTGGAACGAAGTAGAGAGTGCAACACGTGGAATGAAAAATCTAGATCTACCACCACATGAGCGACAAACAGCCGCAGGGGAAGTTAAACACGAGATTGATAAACGGTTCATATTGTAATAATGCTCTATTGACCGAAGGAAACTACATTCTGTAAGGATTCATTTGGCAGAATTATTCCCAAAAACTTTCACGCATGACATTCCTCTAAACTTGTCCGCCATATTTGGCTGGGTTACCAATCTAACCCCAGTCCCCTTCAGTGTTGCGTATGGAATGACGTCACAGAAGAGACGGACAGCAGTTGCTAAACGGCGTACATCAATCTTGTGAACTAAATCAAGGCCATCCCCTTTTTTTCTCTGTTTAGCGTCGTCCGACCGACCCAGATTTTCGCGTTTTCAAAAAAAAAAAAAAAAAATTACACTG